CTGGGTTTCTCCTGTTCTGCCAGGCTGCTAGCTTCTAATAGCACTACCTAAAATTTTAGTTATCTACCAAGGAACCCTGGGACCCACAGGGGGTGGGGCAGGCTGAGCATTTTCTCTTCCTGTGACCTCTGTCTCCAGGCTCTGACAGAGCAGTCTGTATGGCCAGGCCCAGGGCTGGCAAGCCGTGTGAAGCAGTGGTTACAGGCTGACTCTGCAGCCCTGGGCAGGTGACTATATCTCTTTAGACCTTGGTTTCCCCACTATGCCTGCTGGAGAGGATAACTGTACTTACCCCAGAGAGAAGCTATGAGGATTGAAGGAGACAAGTAAAGCAATCAGCACGGGGCCTGGCATGAGGCTATCAGAGGAGGCTAGAGTCCGTTTCTCCTTCCAGCTGGGCTAGGTTCAGGAGTCCTTAAGGGATAGCCAGGAGAGGGAAAAGGTAGGCAAAGTGAGAAAGCTCCCCATTGGCCAGTAGGACAATCAGCACATAGTAGGTTTTCCATAAAGAGGCTTGTTTGAAAGATTGTTTCCTATTTGCCTTCCAGACTATTAGAGTCATATTTGATTCCATACAATTTCTCTGCACAGTCCTACCTCCCTTGGGTTCTTGTTTGCTATTCTTAACCTAAGTAAGGTGACCGAGACTGCCAGAGAGGCACCAAGATCTAAAAGTGCTGGCAGAGGGAGCCTCCTTCTGAGAGGCCACTGTCCCCAGAGTAACCTTTGGGCAGTCCAAGCTTGCTCTCAGGTCAACTTGTTCAAACTAGTTAGTACATCTAACCCCGCAGCTCACAAACATTTATTGCAGGCCTATAATGTGCAAGACAGGGCACTAGTGCCCTGTGGCCATCCCATGAAGGCAGAGGTGGGAGAGTTCCATGCAGTTTAAGAGCGTGGGCTTCTGCAAACCTGAGAGGGAGTCCTGGCTTTCCTCCTCACAGGCTATGACAGCTTGGCATGTTGACTAACCTCACGGAGACTCCATTTCCTCATTTGTAAAGAGAACATAACTTGTTCCTACCTCACAAGACCTAGTGATAGGTCTGGGAGGCACGTAGCACAGCACCTGTTACCAAGTGATTGCTCAGTAAGTAGCTGAAGCTACAACTCCAGCACCAGCAGATGGCACACACTGGATGTGTCATCAGCAAAGCCTTGGGCCTCATGGGTATTCCACAGTGCCTGGAATGTCCCACCTTGCGTAACACCTCCAAGCTTCAGGTTGTCATCAGAAGGCCAGTGAGAGGCAGCAGTTTCTCAGGAACCAACCACCGAGTCTGCCCAGACTACACTTTCCCGCGGGTTGCAGCTGCCCACACCCTGCTCAGGACCAGGACTCTCCCCTGTGCAGAATGAGGACTTTGTATGGCATCTGGTTCTGGGAACACTGCTTAGTCTATTCCTTGGCACAGGACCTGCAGGGCAGGTTTGCAAAAGCATGACACACATTCCGACTCACAGAGTACTGACTGCTTCTGCCTTCCACTCCTGCTATTTGTCGACGAGACACCCCCATCCTCCCCCAGCCAGCCTTGGGGTGGGGGTCTCACCACCTCCCTTCCCCACAAGTCACTTCAAAGACATGACTTCCCAAGAGATCTTCACTTGCCCTTTTCATTTGTTGACAATGAGAATGACTTCCTTCCTGGCAGAGTAACTGAGAGTCATCGTGGTGGCTCTGCTCCCTCCACTCCTATGCCCGATCACCCACAGGCTGGACCTCTGGGGAGCCTATCCTTTGCACCTGGGCCATGAGGACCCAGGACCCAGAAGGCAGGACAGTTTCTCTTCCACATGTCGCCACAGCAGGACACAGGCACTGCCATCAATGCCTGTCACTTGAATTGAGCAAGAACAACCTGTCCCCACCCTGGACCATTTCCCCAATAGTCAGACCAGACCAAAGAGGCAAACTCTAGCATCCTGGGGAACTGACAATGTCTCCTGCAACGCAGCTTCTCCCTGGCTTTGGCCTCCACTTTGCTTATCGTTTCCCCGGAACCTGATTACAGGCGACCTATGTCCTTTATCACAGTGGGCAAGGTTTGCCTATCCTTGCCTTCCTGGCTGCTTACCTGCTTTACAGCCAGACTTTCTGTGGGATAGTGTGGTCCCGAGAGGTCTGGGAAGCTGGATGAGCAAAACAAGGAGGCTGCAGATATGGAGGAAGAAGGAAGAGGAAACGTGAGGCCCAGTCTTGGCTCCACTATGAACCCCAGTTTCCCCAGGGGAAGCTGAAGAGGAGCTGGCAGACCTTCCTCTCCCTGTCTGAGGTCGGGGTGGGGCAGGAAAACCGAAGGTGAGGCCAGTCACAAGTCAAGGGTGAAGAGAAGTCACACGAGTGGTGGGCTGGGTCTCAGGACAGGGTGGCTGCGAGCAGTGCTGCCCTCAGGGAAAAGACGAGAATTGGCTGATAACACCAAGGAGCAGTCTAGGCTGTTGGGGTCTGTCCTCAGAATTAAGCTACCCCTGGTTTCCCTTGAGCATTAAGCCTCCCCCAACCTCATCATCCCCTCATCACTGCTGTGGCCTCTGCTGAGTTTGGAGTGATGATCACCAGGATGATTAATATTCCATTTTTCCCTGGAGAGTTTGGGTTTATGTCCATTGTCCTGGTATAACCATGCATGGCATCCCCTTTCACTCTCATAAGTATCCCAGTTTGCAAGATACATTACACAGGACCTCTTTCTAGCATATCCAGGAGGGCACTGACACAGGAAAAGGTTAGGGACAAATCAGAGGGAAGCAGAACAACAAGCGAGGCCTTGGTGACCCAGAGTGGCAGCCAGGCTGGCTTCAGCCGAGCTGGATCCTCTCAGAACTGGACAATAGTGGAAGGGGAGCCTGAGAACTGCTTCCCACACTGGGGTTCAAATTGTCTTGGAGTCAGGGGCCTAGTCTGGTGGGTTCTGCTTTCTGCCATCCCTCAGAGGGCCTGGAGTCATGCTGGGCACACAAGAGGCTCTTAATCAAATCTGGTCAATTCCTTACTTTCCTCTACCTGCATCCAAAACAGAATTGCAGCAGGAAAAAATGGAAGCTGGAGCGCTGTAATTCTTAATTCAGCAACACACCAAATGTCATCTAGGTGGTCCTCCTGTCTCTGGCTCTCTGGCTTCTAGGACCTGACTGCTGCAGAGGCAACAGCGAGTTTCTAGCAGAGATTCCAGATGCCCATCCCAGCCAGGACAGTGGTGCCTCCTTAGGATGTGGGGTAAGGAATCAAACAATGGGAACTCCCTCTCCTGTCTTAGATAACCACCTGATGTAGTAGCCACCTGATGCAGCCCACTCGGCCCCAGGCCTTTCTCCATTCACAGCCTGGGCTTTGGACACCTGCTATCTGTTCTGGGGGTAGAGTGTAGGGGTCCAGGAGGTCCTCTTGGAGTTTCCTCTGGGACTTAGTTACAAAAGAGATCAGTTCTGAGGTCAAATAGGTGATACTACTGAGAAATCATAAACGTAAATTATCAGGGCACCCCAAACAGCACCCGACCTTCCATAATGTTTGTACAAACAAAGTCTGATGGCCTCTGCTGAAGAGGAGCAAAGGGTTGGAAAGGCTTTCTAACTCTCATTTTTTTCCCTCCTTTCTTACCCCATTTTCTAGTTCCTCCTTTAGCTTGGTAAGGGTCCAAGTCACAGCTGATCAGGACCAGCCAAACCCGAAGCCATGGGACCCAGCCAGAGCACAGACTGTGAATTCCCCAGCTTTTTGCAGTTTGAGTCAGCCCCACAGCCGGACTGGCCTCCCAGCACTCTTCTCAAATGGGTCCAGAGAGGCTACTGAGTGGGGGCCAGGGACTCTGCAGGGAGGGCTACTTCTGCTCAACGATTTCTAGCACCCAAAACAAAAGCCAGGGAGAAATGTACAGTCTTACTACCTCCTGGTCTGGCTGCATGCCAGTCCTGAAACTGTTTCAGAAAGACCCACAGTTCCCTCCAGCACTTGGACAGGGAAGGGACGGCAGAAGGTCTCTCAACACACAATACTCTCAGTTCATAGAATTCAGGCTCCAGTGTTCAGATAACCCATCTCTACCTCAGCAAACCACCCCCAATCCCCAGCCTGGGTTAAAGCCTTCTTTGCCAACACCATGACTTCTCTGGCCCCAGACTTTCCCGACTTCTTTTGCTCACCCCTTTCACTAGCAGAGACAGGCCGCTAATGAGACCACTAGGCAGAAATGGAATGAAGGGCTGGAAAAGCCTGCAGTGCTGGGATGTACCTCCTGATCCTAGGAGAAAGATGAGATGTAGATTTATCATAAAGCCACCATCCCTTCACAGTCACCTCCTGCTAGAATCATCCCATAGCCATTCCATAACCACTGCTGTGTTGGGTATCTGAGCCCCTGCCCATGAGGAAGACCACCTTCCAGTAGGTAGTTGGAGCAGAGCCAAACTCTGCCCAGGAGTTTCTGCAATGCTCAGAAAATGCCTGCCCAACTGCTTGCCTGGGCTCTGGCCCCTTTGGCTTCAACTGAGCCCAGACAGGAGGCTGACTCACTCACCGCACGCACAGAGAAGGAGGAGGAACAAGAGGAGGAGGAGGAGGAGGAGGAGGAGGAGGAGGAGGAGGAGGAGCTGCGAGAAGGGCCTGGACTTGGAGACCCAAGGCTCCCCCAGCCCAGGCTGGGTCTCAGACTCTGGTCCCTGGGTGAAGAGGAGGGGCAGTTGTCCACTGGCCCTGGAGATCACAGGCTGTTCCCTCCTAGATACTTCTGAATCTTCCTCACCACCACCACAGATGCAGGGCACCTCACTTTCCAAACAGAAACTACTCCTTGAGCCTCTTCCTCATTTAAATGCTTGCCCCTGAGTTTCTCTGAACATCTATTGACAGGCTGTCCTGAAAAACTGGGGCCAATTAGGTCTAAACTCATTGGTAGTTCGAAGAAAAGTTAAAAAAAAAAATTACTTAAAAGACCAAACTCCACCATCACAGGTGGACCATACCTGGGTCCTGTAAGAAAATAAATAAGGCTACACGCCCTCCACTCCAGCAGTTTTGAACACCATCGACAGCCAATCGCTCCTTTTCTTATTCCTCCACTCCATGCCAAGGCGCCCGGACAGAGGAAGGAAACAAATGCTTCTTGTTGCCCAAGTGCTGAGCACTGTGCTAGCGGAGCATTTCTCCTTTAAGTTGCCTAAGCACCGAGGATGTCGCCGCTCCCCTCGCCAGCCTGGCACGAACTTCACCTTTCTCAAACCTCAGTGCCCCTTAGTGTCCCAGCCTCATGGCACGACAGCCCCGACCTCAGTCGCCAAGTTTACCGCTGGGACTTAGACTCTAATGCTCGCACCCGGGCTCTCAGGCCCCGGTATCCCCGACGCCCCGACACCGAGTCCCTATCCTGAAACCCCCTTCCCCGCTGCTCCCGGGTCCGCACCTGGTCCGGCAGCGGGTTGGACAAGCTGTTCCGCGCTCCCGGCGCCCACGGCTCGGCTGCCGCCTTTTAACAAGCAGAGACAGCCCAGCACCTGGCCCCGCCTCTCGATCAGGCCCCGCCCCGGCCCCGGCCCGGCCCTCCGCCCCGCCCACAGGTCCAGTCTTCTCCTGCCAGGAGCTCGGTTGGCGCTGCAATCATCTTGACTTGGAATCAACCACCCTACAGGGCACGCTGTAGCCTTAGAGACTCTACCTCGTGAAACTTTCATCGACTATCGTCCATAGTGCAAGGCACGCTTCTGCCCTCTGTGGGACAGAGTTGTCGATGTTTATAGGTGCGGTTTCCCGCTTCAGCCTGCGTTAATCGGGGATGCAGCCCCCCACCCTTCCTGCCGTGGTTCTACCCAGCCTGCTGCGGACGCCTGGGCCAGGTGCGTCCCCTCCTCCTGGGCTGACCCGGCCAGGACTTCGTCGTCCGCGGGACGCTGGGGGGCGCCTGCCAACTGGCACCGGCGGCTAGCTCCGCACGGATGGGAAATCCCGGGCTCCGCTCGCTATCCTGTTACTGCTGCAGAACGCCAGGAAGCTCAGCCTGCTCCCACAGATTAGGGTAAAAGACCCCTAGGGGCCGAAGTGGAAACCGGAGTTGCATCATCGCTCCCACCCGATATTACCTTGGTAGCGACCGCGGCTTACCACGTTCCCGGTCTGTCGCGAATCTCACCCAAGGGAGCTGAGTCTCAGCTTCCCTGGTCCCTGGCCCCCAGTTCCCCCTTCCTCCTCATGGCATCGGCGTGAAGGGAAAAGATAAAGAGTACGTCCTGAGACCTGGAATTGTGGATGACTGTGGAAAATTCACCACAAAAAATTTTGGCTAAAAGTTACTCTCTGCTTCCCTTGACTACGTGATAGGCACAGCTCTAGCTACTAGAGGAGAGCTGGAAAAGCTGGGGTTCCCTCTTCTAAGAACTCGCTGTGCAGTGGGAAAGTGTATAAATAAATAGCAATTACAACATAATCTTCTGGAATAGAAATGCCCACAAAATCATCCAGCAGTGGATGACCTCTTTTAGCCAGGGAAGATATTGCTATTCGCCTCTTACAGAGGAGGAAACCGTGGCTCAGAGGGACAAGATGAAAGGGTGGAAAATTGAGGCATAGAAAGGTTAAGTAATATGCCCAACATGACTCAGCTAATCAATGAAGGACTAGTGCTAGAGCCCAGCAAATCTGCCGGTGCAATGGTCTCTGAACCATTTCTGAGACAGCCATGCTGGACTACATGATAACCAGCCCCTCACAACTCAATAATGGGGTTAAAAGAAATAGACTGAGATTAAACAGAAGGAAGAACCTCCAACAGTGAAGTTTGTTAAGCGCTGAAACAGTTCATTATGGAGGTATCATGGAAACTTTCTGAGAAGACTTAAACAAAAGACAGAAGAGAGGCACAGTCTTTGACTGAACTTGGGAATGGACCATTTATTCTGAGAAACAGATGAAGTGCCCCTTTAGAGGTCCTGCCAGTCTGATGGATGGATTCTCTACCCGTAATGAAAGTAATAGGAAGAATTTCCTTGCCCAAAGCATCGTGGGAAAGCTAGTGGTGATTCTTGTGGGAAGAAAAGCATAAGAGGAAATTTCCAACTGCTAATACCTTGGGACATTCTCTGGAAGTCCCATGAGCCTCTGAAAGAGGTTGAGCACTCAGAAGTCACTTTTGTGGTGCTTGATTGGTCTGACGTCTTGCAAATAAACCTTATCAAAAGATGGTGGATGCTTACTAAGTATTCCATAGTAATTGACAGTTAGTCTTTTTTCACAGCTCTTTGTTGGAGGAGAGGTACTTGTAATTCATATGTGTAAACTGCTTTATAGTATAAAAAGAATTCTTTGGAATATCTTACTTGATCTTTATCACAGCCTTTTCAGACATGAAGAGTAAAAAATAATGTTCCATTGTACAACTGATGTGCAGAGTTGTCAAGGTTTTTACAGCTGAGGAGTATCAGAGCTACTGGACCCAGGTCTTCTCTCTGCACATCCCACTGTTTCATGCTGCCTCTAAAAAACAAAAAAATGTTTCCATGCATGCACTTTTCACAGAGTTGGAGAACTCAGAGGTTCTGCGTTTGGCAGATTGGCAAGATTATAGATGTCATCACGGTCCCCAGCACATGCTGTCATCAGCCCCATCACCTTGTCTCTAACCATGCTCTTCTCATATTCCCCCAATACCTTAACTGTTCTCTCTCATCCACCTCTCCAGGTCCTCTCCTCTTTCAGGTCGTGCCTGTTCCATCAGGCTTTTCCAACATCTCCAGGCTGAAAGGAACTGTCAATTCTCTGGTCTTTGTAGCGCATGCATTGTCTATATTGCATGATTCTGCACCTGATAATGAACCATCTGGTATTCATATTGAACAAAGATAGATTTTTTTTGCCTGTTTTGTTCTTAGAAGGAAGGTTATTTTGTGAAAGTAGAAAAGCAAGATCATATGAGATTCACTTCTCCTGTGTTCTGTTGTAATCCATAATTGTCTCTGGACCCTACTTCGCCCTAGCCAGGTATACAACTGGAAAGGGAGGTTGCTGTCCCACACCATGTTCTCTTGATGCCTTGATGACAAGCACCATTCCTGCACTACAGAGTTAATAGTTTTAAATTCCTCTATCTTGACTTCTCTATAAACCACGTACCAGAACCTGTGCAGAAGACGTTAATTTTTCTTTTCCCTGAAGTTAACATTTCTCATATTCTCACTTATCCCTGGGATGGGTAGTGGTCTTTATTGGGATGTACAGATTGTTTTTTGTCAGTACTCATCTCTGCCAAATTACATCAGGGAATATCTAGTAAGCACTTGCTTGGCTAATATTAGCCAAGTCTGGTGGTGTGCTAGATACCCTGCTATAGTGCTATAGACTCAAAAATCTGTGTAAAAACAAAAGAGTCCTTCCAGGTGCATCTGACTTTGATGGAAAGATTCCAGAGGCGCTAGGCTGAGGATTTCATTTCATTCATTTCATTCCTGTGCATTTCATTCCACAGACTCCAAAGAAAGGCAGGACCTGGTCTCTTGAACTCTCTGCCAGGCTCTAGGTACCTGGGGATGGCCTGGGCAGTTGTGGCTACAGTCAGGCCATAGGACTGCAGCCTGTCCTCATCTCTGGGCTTCCCTTTTCTGCAGCCTGGCCACTGTCCTCGAGGCTGGCAGATGCTCTCTGCACCTCTTGCTGTTGTGTCAGAGCTTGAGTGGGTCACTTTGTCCCTGTGAGGCTCCCAGAGACCCTGTCCCCATGGACAGAGGTTTTTTGAGCTGCCTAAAGACTGCTCTGCAGGTAAAAATGTGCCCTTTGAGCTCTCTCTGGAACACTCCCATCTAACTGTTTGTTTTTCCCTTTTTAGGGCCATTTTTCCCCCTTAAATATTTTATGGTTATGGGCACAGTGGGACTGAAGGGAAGCCTCTCTTCAGTAAACACCCAGAGAACATTCTGAGAGACATGGGCATGGAGTTAGAAAGACAGAAGGGACCAGGCCGTCTTTTCAGTTTGTTCCCTTGTTTTAGAGATTTTTAAAAAACACACATCAAATTCAGAAAGATTAATTCTTTTATATTTCCTAACCCTTGTTAAGACGAAAAGGATCAAGGATGACTCTCCTTATTTATGTTCCAGATGGTAAAAGTAGAATGAATAAATGTAAGAAGCTGTAGCAATGAAAGCAAACCAAGGGGTCTTCCCAGGACAGTGTTTTCAAATTTTTAACTGCAACCCATAATAAGAATAGGTTTTTATTGTGACCTAGTTTACTCAGGAATATATATAAGTTTCCTGCTACAAAAGATGTTCTACAATGTTTTCTATTATTTTCTCTATCCTCTTTTCCTTCCTTCCTCCCTCCCTCTTTCCCTCTTTCATTCATCTTCCTTCCTTCCTTCCTTCCTTCCTTCCTTCCTTCCTTCCTTCCTTCCTTCCTTCTTTCCTTTTGGGATCCACCAAATTTACTTCACCACACATTAATGGGTTGTGACCCAAAATATAGTATTAAAAATCCTACCCTGCACAGTGGCTCAGGCCTGTAATCCTGGTATTTTAGGAGTTGAGGTGGAAGGATTACTTTGAGGCCAGGAGTTTGAGACCGGCCTGAGCAACATAGTGAGACCCTATCTCTACCAAAACTTTAAAAATTATCCAGGCGTGGTGGTGTGTGCTTGTAGTCCAAGCTGCTTGAGAGGCTGAAGTGGGAGGATCGCTTGAGCCTGGGAGGTCAAGGCTGCAGTGAGCTATGATCATGCCACTATGCTTGAGGCCTGGGCAGCAGTAAGACCTTATCTAAAAAAAAAAAAAAAAAATTCCTGCCCTAGATCATGGGCTAGGCTGACTTTATTGTTTGAGTAGCCAACCGAGAGAAGACTCCATCCAGGGAATTGATGGAATCTTGCCTTTCTGAATGGCAGAACAAGTCCCTCTCACCATAGGACCCCCTCATTTAGAGCCTGGAACACAAAATTCACAGAAATACATTTGAGAGACCATCAATGGCTTACATGTAGCACCCTCAGAACCCTGCAGGGGATACATGATGATTCTGGTGATTCTACCTCCAAGAGTATATGGTCAGGGTTAGGTCACTGAGGCAGAATGTATCCACCCAATATTTGCTTTTGTGGCCTTTACTCAACTGATATATTACCACTCTCAAGTATTTTCCAGGTTTGGGGAGTTCATTTAGCCTCAAGATGCCTATGACACCTCAGAAATCTTGACTGCTCCAGAACAGAGCAGAACAGAACAGCTCCAAGGAGTCCTGTGCAATGCCATGAGAAGTGAATGCACACAGACCCAGCCTGCCCTAGAAAGAGTGGGGCACCGCCAGTTATTCACTCCAAATCCATCTGGCTCCAGGGCTCCATTCCCAGTAGCCCAGCTCATGTCTTCTTCCTCGGGGCTTTTGGCATTTGTCTTTCCCACCTGCTCCCACATCTTCGAGCCCCAGGCTGCCAGCCTGCTGGCCCGCACACAGTGTCTGCTGGCATGGTAAAGTA